TGGAAAATAAACCCTGCCAACAATTTTATGAAGAAATTTCGAAAAATAAAGATCTGCTCATTCGAGTTCATAAAACTGCAAAATATTCATCGACAAATCAAAAATCAGAAACAGAAGCTTCTGGAACTCAAATATCAAAAGATCCGGAAAATGAAGAGTTTAATGAAATCGATGATGAGTGATGATGTTTCATACATTAATAATACACATATTAGTAAACAAGTAAGATTATTATGTTTTAAATTCAAAGTTTAAATAGTGTACTTAATTTAATTCTTTAGATTTAGATTCAAGATCAAAACAATTGACTCTGACATTTCAGTGGATATTGATATAAATTTAAAATATCTTTTTAATTTTAAAATTATAAATAATTATAAATTATATTTATACGTAAGAAAATAATAATTACATTATTACATTTTTTTTGAATTTCTAATTTTTCACTTTTTTAATTTATTAGTATTATAAAAATATTATATATCGTTGGACTACAAAACAAATTATTGAAAATATCGAAGAATGTGTTTGTCGGGGGGGGGGAAGTATTATAGTGTCCTGCCTTGTAGTTTTTTATAAATGGCAACTCTAACCATAAAGTTTGCTCCAATTATAAAGTATAGCACCTTGTTTAAGTTAAAGTTAAAGTTGAGTTTAATGTAGTATTTTTTTTTATAAAGGAATTTCAATATTAAATTTTAATGAAAATTGTTTGAGTAAAAAATTATTTGGAACAAATTTAGTTTTTTAACTTTTTTTTTTTCAAACATATGTGTGTTGCCGATTTAAGTACAATGGTGAAATCAGAATTGAGCGGACAGATTAAGTTTCCAAATTATAGCTTTTTAAAGTTCAGATATTATGGAGATATTACATGTTTATGTTTAATAATTCTATGTTATCATATTTACTGTACGTTTGTTGTATTCGAATAGTCATGAATACTCATTGTCATTCAAGGGGTCGCGGGTTCAACTTGGGGTTCATTAAGAAATTGTTTGCACTTTTTACCTTTTACCTAAATAGGGGAAAAACAAATGCATTTTAAGTGTACCTAGAGACCTAGCTATTGCTCGCTTAGACGATTTTAATCGAAAAATACTCCTCGATTTGTTGTGCAAACTTTTCTACCAGCAATCTTGCTTGTATCAAGTGTAGCTTATTTTCCGATAGAAAATTTTATCTCCATCGTTGAGGGAGATCATTTTTGTGATTTTTCAATCGTTTTCATAATAATTGGGAACAAACGGGATGAAATGTCGGAAAAACGGAAAATGTATGAAATTAAATTATACTATACTTCATTGTATAGGTAACATATAATTTTCACCATTCGAAAAATCACGAGCCATTACAGTATACGACACACCGTCTATATAATCACAGAAAAACTATTTAACGGCGGGTGGTATTTTAGAGGCGCCTAGGTACCTATATTGTGTAGTTCATAACTGCATAGTGAAGGTCGGAACATAAAATTGATTTTTGTATATGAATTTCGTGCAACAAAACGGAATATGTATGCACCTATATAGTATAGACTTCACGACTTTTGTAGTTCCACGTGTGAGCCAAACTTTTGTTTATTGTAAAGTGAAAATTTCGTTAGGTATTTTCAGGTCTAGGTCAATAAATAATAGGCACGTATTATATTGTACTGTAGGTAAATACTTGTACCGCCGCCGCCGCTGTTACTTTCTTTTTGAACCTTTAACCTAAACCGAATTTAAACGGTCGTGATGGTTGTAGGTACGTTTCCAATCAACTAGGTAACTATATGCACGCATATATTTTATCGTTACAAATATGAAAACATATATGAGTACACTGTAATGTTTATATGTAATACTTAATAAAACAAAAACCTTCGGTCAACTACGTATAAAAACCTCGCTAAAAAAAAAAACTCCGGTTAGAAAAGTTGTGATATTAAAAAGGGACTAAGTAATTTCTTAAAATCATTAATATAGACATTTTTTATTTGATGTTTGTATTTGATAAAATGTGATAATTTAATACGAATAGTTCAACTTAGCTTGGCGACTACTAATATGTATGTCTACAAATTAAGATATAATGCTGACATAAATATTTACATCCCCATTTTATAATTTATTAATATTACCATAATACTATTTAAGTACATACTATGAGTAGCTGCCAAGTTCAGTTAAATTTTTTGTATTAAATTATTGCACTTCATCAAATATAAACAATTATAAATAATTTGTATGGGTACTAATTAATTTAAGACATTACTTAGCCTCTTTTTGATATCACAGCTTTTCTAACTTGAATTTTTTTTTTTCTAAACGAAATTTTTACACGTAGTTAGCGGAGGATTTTTGTCAGGATATCACTTATCACTTATCTTTTATTAAAATTTTGGTTACAAATATAACCAATGTTTTTTTTATCGAGTGAAAAATTATGGGGATAAATATTATTGTTGTTTAATAGATTGAATAAATTAATATATGATGTATAGCTATGCATATAGCTTATTATAAATGTTGCTGGAAAATGAAACTATAGTAATACAGCGATAAAATAAATAAACAAAATTGTTTTTTATTCGCCACAAACGGCCACCATCGCAAACAGGTGGTAACAACACGTACAACATAATAGGTATACATTTAGTTGTTGAATTGTTTAAAAAAATAGCGTTTCGAGTAAAAACTATGCTAATACTTTTGCATATTTCTCAGGCTGTAATCATACGATCAATTTGAAATTTACAAAAGTATCATCTACTTAACATACTGATCAAAATATGTAAATTTCAAAATAATCAGTTCATTAGTTTAGGCTACAAAGAGATCGGACCATTTGTCTTAAAAATACACAGGTAAAAATAGGAGTTGGTCGTCTCGTGTAATATAATAGAGTCGACGCACGAGCTTTTTTTTTTAAATTTAGCTCTGCGTCGTGGTCACGGCGCTGGATATGTTAAATTGGTGTGTATTACAAGTCCGTATAATTGATTAGTTTATTTTTAAACATGCCTAATAAAATGTGTAATAAAATAAATAGTCACGACGAATCGACTATTATATATTATTAAAATCGAGTATTTCAGACATTCTCCGAGAAACGAAAAATTGTATTAGTCAAAGTTAATGAGGTCATGAGAGTTACAGACAATTTTGAAAATCGACTCAAAAGTTAAGATATGCATTTTTGTACTTTGGGATTCTCGAACTTCTTAAAAATATTGATTTCAATTTTAGTCCATCAGGCTGAAACATTTTGTGCTGCTATTTGAATGAATAACATAAAGTTTAGTCGTTTTAATCGCACATAATAATTAAGTGTTTTAAATTATATAAAATATGCAAACATCCCAGTTTGAGTCATATTTATATTAAATACAATATTAAGGGACCTCGCACTACAAGTTCTGCTTTTTCTATCTGCTGTCTCGTGTATAATATAGCAACAATAATAATCCATACTTCTCTGATTCTTCGACTCTCTGATTGAGTTTAGTTCAAAATAATTTTTTATACATTTTATAAAGAAGAGTATTTACTATGGCTTGACCTAATCATTTTTTTTAAATATTTAAAATTTTGATCAAGTTATATGTATTTCAATTAAAATTAGTTTTTTTTGATTTCAATCATTTATTAACTTATGAAGAAATTAAAATATTTAAACAAAATTGTTCAGTCAATACATAGTAATACTAAAGCATATTATTTTTTTAATATGTACTAGCTGTATTGCCTGGCTTTACTCATGCACAATATTGAATGAAAAAAACAAAATCGTGTCTTCCCGTGAATTCAATTGATTACCTGTAATACAAATATTTTTTCTACGTGTAACCAATGGATACTAAAAAAAAAAATCATATTTCTAGGACAAAGTTCTCGGGTGGACCGCACTTTAGGGGTTAAATTTCCCATTCAAACCACTCTCTAAACACTCCTGGAACTTATAAAAACAAATCGTGAAAGATAGATAGGTCCCTTTATTCTAAATTCAACCAGAAAGTCACGTAGCTATACACTCTCCCCTTCTTACCGCATTGTTTTAAAAACACATTAATTAGGACTATTTATTTAGTAATTTATTGTTTAACCAGATTACGAGGACAAAAATCTCGAATAAAAATAATAGGCTCTTTTGGATCCTACTATTAAATTTTCATTTTAATTTCTCAAGGCACGTTACTAGCTTATTGTTGCTATATTACAGAGATAGACACAGAAAACAACTGTAGTATTGTGACTCCTGAACATGTATACTTGAGTGAAATTCGTATCCATACATATTGCATATATTATATATATATATATATATATATATATATGTATGAAGCTAGTGATGCTGTAATAATCAATAATAATATTCTAGAACTATGTATAGTTTGCGCGGAGGACGGAAACAAAATATTACAACCATCACCTAGCGAAACGAAAACTGGTATGAATAAAACATAATCCGGATTATACAATACTAAAATACACCCGCAATACGATTATCGCAATAAAATGTTAAGTGTTTCTGTTACGCCGCCATACAGTAGTAAAATAATATACTCGATTGTATATTACATATTATAATATAGCCAATAGCCATCGCGTATGTAATTTATAATATAGCGATTTCTTGTTCGCTGTAATGCGTAATAAGATACGTATTCTGAGTAAGAAATCATATCTGAAACGTACAATAGTATTATAATATGTATATCACACAAAAACGTTTTATTGAATATATATATATAATATCCTATAATAATAATATGATACTTACGCCTACTGCAGATTTATGTTTTATAAATTACACGTTTTATTGTACAAACAACTGCAGTACTTACATACAATTATACACACTATTGAAAAGACACGTTTACTGAATTCAAAATATATAATATAAAATAATATTACGATAAAAACAATTTCAAAAAACAAAAAATTCAATCTTGTTTTTAATTTATTAATATATTTATATTATACTTATATATATATATATATAATAATAATTGACGAGCAATATTTTACTCAAATTCTACATTCTAGACAAGTATCTATAAAATCTATAATTTATAGATAAAAAGAAAAGAAAAGATTTTTTTTTAAAATATTATTTTACCTATATTTGAAAACAAATGATTGTTTTAATTTTTTTATTTGCTATATCTATCGCAATTTTGAAAATATTAAAATAAAAGTGATGATACACATACAAATTTAAATTAAACCTTTAAGAATAACACATATTACATGTTTCGTTAATAACAGATCAGTCTAATTATTGGCAGTGGCAACAATTGAGCCCAAGGAGTCGTTCGTGGTTTTACTGTAACCGGATACAGCGGGAGTAGTTATATCGTTGTTGGTGCTATTTCCGGATACCACGACATCCACCTCCTCTTCGGACGATAGGTTATCCAAATCGTGACTTAGCGAGTTCGACTCGGCCACATCTACGAAAGTCGCACTCAATTCTCCCGACAATTTATTGACCTGATTGTGCGTCACGTCGTACATGTAAATTTCCTTTCCATTTGCGTTGCCATTTGGTCTGGAAAAAAAAAACGATTATCGATAATTTAATAGCTATAGTAAAAAATTATTTGGTGCTAAATGAAAAAAAAATAACTACTTAACGCAATATATTGTTAAAAACATTTGTCGTTTATTAAGTGAAAACTAAAAAAAGTTAATCAAAAACGTATATATTATATTTGTTTACTCGTCTACTCTTCCGTATATATATATAACGAAATCGGAAATACTCGTGTTATATTTCGTGTCAGCGAAAGCAATCGGATTTGAAATTGGAAAATTCGTTTTTATTATCTTTCCAACAAATTAAATAGGTACGTAAGACGACGTATTTACATTACGCAGAATAAATAAATTATACATTTATATAAATAAACGCTGTACTTACTTAGTGACCAAAAGTACGACCGATTGTTCTTCGGTGGGTGTACCTCTTTCTTTCTCCAGCCAAGTTTCGAAATTTTCTCTGTTTGGATCTCTGACAAGATTTTTCACAATATCGCCGACAACGAAATGGACGCCTTTCACTTTAATCGCAGTGTTTCTAGACACTCGGGATTGATCGTCGTCGTCCGACAAATCATACCCAACCGGTGATAATATAACTACACTTCCGATGGCTTTGTTTTTTAACAACGGCGAATTCGGTATCGGGAAGTAGGTGCCGTTAATGTTTAACGGTAAAAATCGATTATAACCGGTGTCGTTTAAAACAACTGGGTCGAGAGTTTGTGATTTGGAGCGGTCGACATAGGTGTTTTCGATTTTTCTGCCTTCTTCCGTCGATGGGTCATATTTGACGACTTTCATTTGGACGTCAGATTTCTTGGGGGGCAAAACAATTGATGGTACTGGTGCACTGCCCTGGCCGTAAAAATTTTCCAAAGCTTCGGGTGGTAGACTTTCAATCGGTATATCGCCCACCTTGTCGTAGTCCAATATTTGAATGTCAGCGTTGCTCAAAATCCCGGAGGAAAGAAGTTGTTCCCTCAGTTCGTCGGGTACTTCGTCCGGAAGGGAAGCGGTGTTTTTGGGTTTTTCTGTGATGTTTTTGGCCACTTCGGTTGTAGTTTGTTTCAGAGCAGGGGCTGTTGTAACGGTTGTTGGTGTTGTACTGCGTTCATTGTACGGCGATGACGTCACAAACGATGAGGGTTTTTCAGTGGTTTTCGAAACTGCTACGGACTTACCTGTCGTGTCTATTGTATTTTTTAACGTGCTCGCGCTCAAATACTCTTTGTACATCGATGGTGTCGGTTCCTGGAGTTTAAACGAACTTTGTGGTTGCCATGGGTTGTTGTCGGTGCGGAAAGAATTTTGTTCCGTTTGCACTGGCTGCTGGTATCTATTATTATTATTATTATTATTATTATTATTGTTATAGTTGATATCGATAAACTGGCTAGATTGTGTCGGTTGCTGTTTTATTTGTTCGAGTTTATAGCCGTTCGATTGGGTGATTTGTATTTGCGATGTTGACGATGGTTGTTTCGGTTCGGGAATAAAATACTGTTGTTTTGCTGGTTGCTGGTGTTGATGCTGCGAAGTCTTAACTTCCGTTGAGAATTGCTGTTGCTTGATTGGTAGCTGTTGTTGGGTCAATGTTGGATTATTATTGTTGGCTATTGATGGACGTATTTCAGTGGATTTGTATTGCTGTTGCTGGAACTGCTGTTGTTGGAACTGTTGCTGCTGCTGTTGCTGTTGTTGTTGTTGTGGGGAGAAAAACGGTAAATCAACCGTATGTTTTATACCGATTGGCTGAGTATTATAACTCGTGGGAAGCTGTGGCGGCGGAACCGTCGGTCGTCTATCGTTTGGTGTAAACGAAGGGTTAGGGTTGGCTGGTACACTTTGCAACGATGTTGGTGGCTTGTTCGGTCTATAATTTATCGTCACTTGATTGTGATGTCTATTATCGAAAGGTCTATCTTGAGTCGGTCGACTTATTTCAACGGGCCTGTTTTGTAAAAACGGCCTATTCTCATAAGGCCTGTCGAATATCGGCCGATTTTCAAAAGGTTTACTCTGGGCGGTCGGTTGGTTATCAAACGGTCTATTTTGTACTGGTGGGATGTTTTCGAATGGTCGATTTTCAAAAGTTTTGTCCGGGACGGGACGGCTTTCAAATGGTCTGTTGTCGAAAGGTCGGTCTTGCACGTGACTTGCGGGTGGTCGATTTTCAATAGGTTTACTTATAAGCGGTCTTTCGTTATTTGGAGATTTGATTTGTACAGGTCGCTCTTGAAAACCACCCGATGGATTTCTCAACAGAGGGCTTGTTTGGAAATCTGGTTGTCTTTGTTGTTGATTAATAAAATGTTGGTGATTTTGTTGATTACTAAATTGTTGGTTATTTAAATGTAATTGATGACTTTGTTGGTTGTTTATTAATTGTGAATTAGCCAGTGGGTTGTTTAATTGTTGATGGTTTGGTGGATTATTAAATTGCTGATGATTTTGGTGATTATTTAATTGTTGATGATTTTGTTGATTATTTAACTGATGTTGATGATGGTTTGGCTGGTTATTTATTTGTTGATGGCTTTGGGAAATAGTAAATTGTTGAGTATTCGGTTGATTATTAAATTGTTGAGTATTCGGTTGATTATTAAATTGTTGAGGATTTTGTTGATTACTAAATTGATGATGATTTGGTTGATTTCTAAAATTATCCTTAGATTCCGAAGGCCTTTGTTCAACGATTCCTTGGAAGTTATTTGGCTGAGGTTTAAATGGTTGATTTATGACTGGTATTTGACCTTGAAAATGTGAACGAGGACTATCTTCTTGAAAGTAATTTTGAACTGGTGGACTAGGTTTCCTCAACTGCTGTTGCGATAGATCAACGTTCGAATTCGGAGTGTTAAATCCATTAAATTGGGGTTGGTTAGCAATCTGTGAATTTTCAAAATTGTTGGAACGTTGGTAATCCGCAGGTTGTGGTTGAACAAAACTTCTTTTAAATTCTTGATCAGTATTTTTCTTGAGTTTATTTTGAACGTCGCTCGCTTCACTGACAGAGTCTCTATTTTCCGCTTTATTTAAAGACGATGGGCTCCAGCTCGATTCTGTGTTTCCGAAAGTAACTTTTAGGCCCGTCCCGTGATAAATTTCTGAATCAGGTTTTATTATAGTTCTGTACGTGGTGCTGGGCGACGGAGGTCCCGTAACGTAATTGTTATAAAGAGGAGATGGCTCTGTAGTGTACGTCGTTTCACTTTCACTTACTGATTCGGTACTGGGTGTTAACGCCGGTACCGGTGGTTCATATATGATATCTTCTTTGTCACCGTACGAATTGGGATTTTTTTTGTATTTTACGTAAAAAACTTGAACGGGTTCTTTTGGTGGTCTTGTGACCGGGATGGGTGGTGGTGTCGGCGGTGCCGGAAGCGATTCATTCGATTCTTTAATAATAATTTCGATAATCGGTTCCGGTTCCTTGTAATAGTCAGCCGGTTGGTACGGTACTCCGTACACGGCAGCAGGGTTGGGTGGACCATAGTTTGACGAAATTCCAATTTCAGAACCGCTCACTTGGTTATCGACAAAGTCGATTTTCGCCGTTGAAGAATTATTATTACTATTGAAATTATTGTGTGCCGTCACATAGAGTGGATCCTGTTGCGAATAATGCACCATGGGCTCCATCTTCACAGCATATGGTGGAACGGATGAAACTTGTTTATTTTTCCATCCTAAGTTCGTATTTTGATCCCATGGTGAAGACTGCTTACTTTGATGTTTAGGCCTGTCAGCTATTAGCCTCGACTGGTCGACGATGTTTCTCGAACATAGAGTCGTACTGACTGTCAACCAGATCAGCAAGCAAATCTAAAATTACGTAATTTTAGTATTATAATATTAAATATATTTGATAAAAATAATACTACGCCATCGCCGGGGTACCAATCATGATTATGCGTAACGGATGCGTTAATAATAATTACGTAAAAACTATTTTAACGGTTGTTTCATCGTTTAAACGGCTGATTATAAGATTATCTTGTGGCGGGGTGGCGGCGGTACAATAACAAATTATAACTGTATAATAACAATAAGTGAAGACTGCGAACAATGACGGTGATCTATAGTGCGAATAAAGGAAACAATTCTTAAAAAATAATAATAATACAAAATAAGCAAAAAGACAATGAGAGAAAACCGTGCGAATTCTTTACAACTCGAATATTATTAACAATGGTCAAAACGTCGAAGTTCTAGAAAATATTATCTCTGGCATTACTCGAAATAGTATAATTTTTCCGTGTGATTGTCGTGATGATTAGGTAATACATAATTTACTAACAATAATTGTGTATAAGTATTACCAAATGCAATAATAATAATAATAATAATAATAATAATAATAATAATAACAATAATAGTAATAATAATAATAAAGTTGACACTGTTCATGGATAGTTGAGTAGGTTGAAGAATATTCTATGTAAATTAGTTTATACATGGTATGTAACGATAATTATTGCAATCGAAAAACGATTCTGAGTGAAGTAGTATTTGTGGTATTTCTTCCTTGTTGCCAAGGGAACTCAGAAATCATCATAAATAATAATAATAATAATAAATGAATCAAGGATTAAACTACTCAGCATTTCATTAAATTTGTTAAACGAAGTACCACCAAGCAAAAAATCCGCATATTTTTAGGTGTGACATAAAAAAATTGGAATACTATTATTATTTCGAGTGCAAAGGTAGAATAAAATAATATATTATGAACAATCATTATAATATATAATGTTGGTATTGTGTTAATCAAGAATATCGAAAATATATTATAATATATTATATTATTCGTTTGTATTTGAAATTGAATTTTCAGTCACGTTTTGGAAAAAAAAAAAGGTACACTCTAAATAATAATAATATGATCGTATAAAATTCATTATGGGAAAATGCGCTTAGCAATTTATCTATTTCCGGATGAAATTAAATAATTAGAATACAAATTGATAATGATACAACAATTTGTTAAAACACGCTCAATAGTTAAAATTATAATGATATATCTTGACAATGAATTCAATCGATTGTAGCAAATTTAATATTATCGCACTTGTCCTATATAACAATATTGTCAATATAACAATATTGATCTTATACGCGAGTGAGTCCTCTCACTAAGTACGTATCCAAGTAAAAATAATTCGTAAAGAGAAAAAAACATTTCATATTAATATGGTTAATGAGCGAAATTTCTTTTCATAATAGGGTAAGGCCACCGCTATATCTGTTATAGTGGGTCGAACCCTATCCAGTCCGACCCTAGATATACATCATATTCACAGCTGAAGAACGTGGCAAACGATAGCGACATATTATGATGGTTATTACGACGAGATGCAGCATGTAGTTCACAATTATGAAACCGCAATAGAAGTAAGAAATATAATAATATGATAACGGTTGGGGTGATAATTATTCAAAAATTAGCTGTACTTACTCGCAGTAGTAATTTTGGCCCGGACATTGCGGATCCCAATTATTCGCAAAATCGATTTTCAGATAAACATTAAACGCATAATTTTTCTTTTAAGAACAAAAACGTAACTTGCACGTTACAGACGTTTGCGAAACGAACGTGTTAAAATCACGAGAACATCGCACGATACACGATTATTCGGAGCGTATACATAAAAAAAAATAACAAATAAAACTTAACAAAAATTGGTACTTTTATATTGTTTTATTACTATGATATCAGTATCAGAGTAATGCGATTTGTTCGCCGCGGAAGAGTTTTGACCTGTGCAGTCGACTGTCGAAAACTGGTCACTTTCTTCTCTGACGCGATATTCACACCCGCTATACTAGCGAGATGTCCAAGGTTCCCTACCTAAACGACCTACACCATTATTTGAGTTGATTTTTTTTTTTACGTATAGAAATACTTTCGTTCGGAATGTGTTCGCGGCTAATCCTTATTATATTTTTTTCAACTCTAACAGGTGTTGGTGGTAGTGGTGGTGGTGGTGGTGGTGGTGGTGGTGGTGGTGGTGGTGGTGGTGATTATACACACAAATATAATCATCACGGCATGAATCTTCTTTTTTTTATGAAAGGCGAAGGGTCCGATTTTTTTATATATCTAGGTTTTATTATTGCATTCATTTGTTTCACGGATGTAATCGTCTTCTTCGTCGTTGTTGACGTAAATGATGTATTAAGAGTCTTTCACTTTTTTTTTTTAGGAACAATATAATACCGTTTAAACCTTTCAGTCATTTATCTTCGGATACACTCCACTAAAAGAAATTTTAATGAGTGGAATTCGGTTTGATATATTATTAATAATATTTTTATATTATTATTTTTCAGCTGCCCACTATGCCGCCGTTTGATTAGACAATAAGCGTCTGCTGAAATACTTACATGCAACTGCTTTCAAATAATAATTAAAAAAAAAAAATATTCTGTATGAAGATCATATCGTTCGACGACAACGAGCCTTGAGTTGTTTTTAATTATAGAAAGATGGACCGAAAAATAAGTAATAAACTTTCTAAGCCGTCGTCGTCGTCAGAACAACAGACACGTTCGATCGATGTATTTACTTTTTTTTTTTTTTATTATAGATCGGTTATAATATAACTACTCAATTGATTTTCGGTTTATTTTGCGAAATCTTTTTTACAGCTCACGAGATTCGTATATGTACGTGTACATATACTGTGTTTAATAGCTATTTGGTCAAATAAATCGTAGGTGTTTACTATTGATAAATATGAAAGAGCATATTTTTTCTTTCGTCATTGAAATATAATATATTTCATAAAATAATATATTATCTTCCATTTTGTTTTTCGAGCACGTTTCAAACGTGCGGTTTATTCTTATTATTTTTTTTTCTATAACCAAACCATATATTAATATAATATGATATAATAATCAATTACATTATAATATATTAATGTAGAGGCCGTCTCAGTAGTATTTGTGGTTTTGTCTTTCTAATGAATAGTGGTTCCGACTCAAAATATCCTGCGCGTCGAATATACTCATTATAAATATTCCATTATAAAAACGACCCCCTTAAAAATGGTCTTGTTAAAAATATCTTTTATTAAAATTGTCTCGTAAAAATGTCGTGTTATATATATATATACATATACAAAATTCAAAACGGTATATTTTGAAATTTAATTAAAAGTCTGATGAGGTTCCTGAAAACAAAAATCAAAGAATATGTAAAAATGGACAAACGGTTAAAACGATTAGTTTATAAGTATGAAAACTTAACTAAAATACATACTAGATTATTTATAAAGCATAGCAAACAATTTTATTTTACTTTATAAGTGTATATATAATTCTATACATGATTTACTTTTAGATTTTCAGCGTATTTTTTTTTTTAAACTTTTTCTTGTATAATTTGTATTGTATTTAACTTTATTTTTTTTCAAAATATACTGTTTAATATACATTTGCCTGTGAAAGATTTTGTATTGGGAATTTGTATATATATATATATATATACTGGATATTTTGATGTACGAGATATTTTGAAGATACACCACAGACAGTATCTATATATAAATAATTAAACAAAGTATAGTTATTAAAACAAAAAATACGTTCTAGGATAATGGGAAAGGGTGCAGCCACTGTTATTGACAATTTCATGTATACCTGTAAGCAACAATAAAGCATTGCTTACAAAAAACGATTCTGAATGGAGTTCAATTGATAGTGATGCTTTGTTAACAATATATATGTCATTCTATAGTGAAATAATTAAATAGACTTTATATATTTTCTTTAATAATATTTGTTTAATGTTGTGCCAAATTTCCCAGTTTTTCTACGTTTTCCCGGTTTTCTCATGTTTCATCCCGGTTTTTCAAATTTGATGAGAAAATTCCTAAGAAAAACGAAAAGTGGCCTCAACAAAGTACCTTTTCACACTAATTTTCTTTCAGAAAAGGTACTACACTTAGAAATCTGAACAGGAATTCTGGTAGAAAAGTCGCGCTAAATAAAAAAAAAAATAAATAAATAAACATATTTGTAAAACCATAAGCTTCTTCGCTCCACTCAGAATCTAAAATACATAATACATAATGTCTAATAAGTGTTTTGTATTTAAAATCCATTTTAAGTCTTTTCGTTTATTTTACGTAAAAACATTTTCCTTGTAATTTGGAAACACGTTAGTACATTAGACAACAAATTTTAACATAACGTTTTTTTATTTGTCAAATATAGGTTGGTAAATTAGCAAAAATTTTGGCATGTAAAGTGTTTATCACATCCATCTGGTTAAATACTATTTCATCCATTAAGTATTGGATTTCAGATAAAGAAATCCAATTGATCAGTTCCCCTCCAACGGATTGGTCAGCAACTGAGTTTAATCTAGCGGCTGACTAATCTGCTGAATTTAGGAACATATGGATTATAAAATATTTTATATTAATTATAACAAATTATCTGACTTTATAGATGATAATAACAATAATAAATGATAACTCAAGAATTGCGTATGCGTAGAACAATAAAATTTGGTCATGGTTGGCAGTTTTTGGGAATCACCGTCAGTAAAACTGCCGGTTAGTTATACGATCGTTTATCGAAGATTGTAAGAACAGATCGTCGTAACCGGCACTTAACCGATGACGTTACGGTTAGGTAACCGATACTTTTACCGCCACTTAACCGGACATTATAAAACAATGTACAATACGTCCCGCTGCCTCATATTTTATTATTTTCGAGGAAACTGAATTGCATGTGTCTCCTTTGAATTATAAAGATTTTCTCAGCGGATCAAGCGTTTATTTCGATTTGTGGAGATTTGTGGAGGGGCTACTGCTTGTAAAGTTTCTATGTACATAGATTATAGTGCTCACATCATAACGAATGAGTTATATTAACATTAACTGTAATATTTGTCCCATAGTTAGAGATTTAACTAAATTTTAGGAGGAGCTATTTTAGTGACGAACAAAAAAAAAAGACGGACATACTGCGCACCATGAAGGAACCATTGTTATAAGTGAGAAGTTGAAAAGGTAGGATATAGAGAGTAATTTAATGCGAATCTGTATGCAATAAATAATATTTCCTTTAGAAAAACGTTCTAAGCGAGATTTGGTTGATAGTGATGCTTTGTCAACAATATATATGTCAATATGTCATATTATGGTAAAATAATTATATACGATTTTCTTTAAAATTTGTTATTCAAATTCTTAAAAAATATTACATTAAACTCAACATTTTCGTGTTGACTACTAAGTACAACTTATGATGAACCTCTTGTTAAATGTTATGAATTTCTGTTTAGTCTAACATTTCTATTTTATCTACAGAGTACCTAATAAATATAACGTAAAAAACTTACAAAATTTAAAAGTCTCATAGTTATTAAAAATCGCTCAAATTTTTTGAAAATTTTACCACATCTATAAAAGTTTTAGGCTTTCGTTAATATTTCAAGTCTCTATGAATATTTTTCACTGAATTACAATAAAAAAACAAAATTTAAAATAACTTATGCATTATTCTTGTAAATTTTTCCGTTAACTCCAGGAAAATTCCCTTTCAAAAAAAGTGTTACACTTGAAAATCGAAGCGAAATTCTTTTAAAAAAGTTATTTACAAAAAGATAAAGGCTGTAATATTTTAAAATAATACATTTTGTACATTTTCCCGATTTACCTGGTTATTACCATTTATTGAGAAAACTTCTAAAAATCAAAAAATTACCTCCCTAAATTATCTTCACAGGAAAATTTCCTTTCAGGAAAGGTAAAGGTGCTCTACATGATATTTCAGAGCAAAAGAACAAGATTTCAAGTAAAATTTATGTATACATAATATAACAAAAAATAAACATGGTAAAACCAACACATTCCTCGTTCCACTCAGAATCTAAAAAATCACTGTGTACCCAATATTCATTCGTAGTCACACATAAAAACGTAATAAGCCATAAAAGTCGTTCTAATTTTGAGGGGCTAGAATAATAATTTTTTAATAATTTTAGAAAAATTATAGATGATTTTGGGGGGCTAATTCCTTCTAGCTCTCAAATCTCCACCTATGATTTTTTCACATTTATATTATTTAGAGATCTGAACAACGGTTTAGATTCTATACAATCAACAAATTATAAGTAAATTTTAAAATTTCACGCTTGTTAAATATATTTTTTTCCAAAAGAAATTGTTTTTGTAAATGAATACCCAGGTAATGTACCCAAATTGATGTGCGTGAACTCTTACAAAACATTTAAATTGTTTTGATGATCATCGTATAGTGTTATAGGAAATTTGTAAAAGCAAAAATACTGAAAAAATTAATATTTTAAGATATTTTTTTTCTACCGCGAAACTATGCAATTTCATAATAATTATAAAATTACATAATGATATTCATATTATAAAAAAACCCTAATTATATGTACACATACCGTGTGTTCATTATTATTACAATAATCGATATCGCAATCTTTTCACTGCAGAATCCATCACATTATAGTTGCAACAAAACTTGGAATGGATATAATGTATGACCGACTTATTGGCTGTATAATTTTGAAATCGAACGATGTGTCCACCGACGGCGTCAACTATCGATGGTGTTTTTATTTATTTTTTGTAATTTTTTGGATTACACTCTTATATACACACATACACACATAATTTTGAGTACGCCATGCAAATAATAAAAACTCGTGGCCGGAGCAATTCTATAATATATTAATAATTAAAATAATATCTTTTAAACGAATTTTCTGTCTGTATAAACAAATTTTGCTA